TAAAGGCCACAAATATTCACCAGTCCGGAGTTAACCTGGTCTCTTTTATGAAGATCTGGGAAGCAGAAACCACATACTCAGGACTCATCAAGAATCTTGGTAAGTTCACTTATGATGAATCTCCTGATTTCAGGATTTCTGATGATGGACTGTTCAGATTTCAAAACTAAATTTGGGTCCCCATTATTGTATGTATGAATGTACTCAATATCGCCCATGCTTCCAAGTTATCCATTTATTCCAGGAGTACCAAAAAGTATCTGGACTTAAAACGATAATATTAGTGGCCATGAATGAAGAATGATATAGTTGACTACGTCTCACGATACCTCGCTTATCAACAGATAAAAGCAGAACATCAGAGACCTGATGTCTTGCTACAGGGTCTTCCGATTCTCGAATGAAAATGGGAGTATGTAACTATGGACTTTGTCACCGGATTGCATAGGACTTGTTTTAGTTGAAATGCCATTTGGGTCATCGTAGATAGGTTTGCCAAGACTGCCAATTTCTTACCTATTCGAACCACAGATTCCACAAGTAAGTTAGCCCGCCTATATGTTGATAAAATTCTTTGACTTCATGGAGTTCCCTCATCCATTGTCTCTGACCGCGACCCCCAGTTCACTTTTCACTTTTGGGACAACTTTCAAGAAGCTTTAGGGTCTAGATTGTATTTCAGAACTATCATCCCCAAACAGATGGTAAGTTAGAACGTATAATTTAAACATTAGAAGATATGTTGCGTGCTTGCATTCTCGATTTTGGTGATAACTGATATGAGTATCTTCCTATTTATGAATTCATTTATAATAACAGTTATCATTCTAACATCGGTATGTCCCCGTATGAATCATTATATGGAAGACCATGTCGTTCCCCTACTTGTTGGAGTAAAGTCGGGAACCAGCGCCACTTAGGACCAGACTTCATCCAGGAGACCATTGAGAATGTCGCAATTATCCGTAAGAATTTAGCAACTACCCAGAGCCATCAAAAGACTTACACTGATAATCGTAAGCAACCCTTGGAGTTTGCCGTGGGAGATCAAGTTTTCCTAAAAATCTACCCCTAGAAAGGCAATATGTAGTTTAGGAAGAAAGGGAAGTTGAGCCATCATTGTGCAGGACATTTTTCGATCATCGAGTGCATTGGACCCGTGGCATACTGCCTCACTATATCTAGATAGTTCGCGGATCTGCATGATGTCTTTCATGTCTCGATGTTCAAGAGGTGCTACCTTGATCCTTATCATGTTATTCCTCGCGATAAGGTACTGGTACAAACTGATATGACCTATAAGGAGGTTCCTGCAGAGATTCTCGGGTGGATCGATAAGGTTTTATGTAACAAGACGATTCCACGGTGAAGGTACCATGGCAGCATCATACCCCAGAATAAGTGACGTGGGAGTTAGAGGACGAATGGAGGAAAAAGTATTCGGACTTATTCGAGATAAATTTGGAGACTAAATTTTTTAAGGTAGGAGAGACCTAATACCCCACTTATCACTGTTCTAAAATGATTTAGAAACTCTATTTATTCAGGTATTTGGCTGCTTTAAACTTAATTAATTTAAACTGCTTAATATTTATTGTGATTTGTAATTTTGGTTGATTTTTATTTATTTTATTTTATTTTAAATAATTTTATTGTAACTCGTTTAAATATAAAATGAAAATTGAGAAAAAAAAATGGAAAACGACAAATTTAAAAAAAAATTCCACTGGAAAAATCCCGTAAGGAGTCTGGTTGCCCGTGGGATGTGCACACAGTGCGCACGTCCCGTCCGCGTGCATGACATGGGATCAGGACCTGCGCATGTCCTGTCGTGCGCAGGCAGACAGTCCGCTCATCACCTCACGTGCGGGCAAGCACCACACACTTTGCGCGCACCGTCCGTGCAATAGGCCTGCGTGGGTAGGCCCTGTGTGCCATGGGCCCGCGCGTAGTAGGCCTGTGCGCGCGGTGCCCAACGAGAAAGCTAGCCCCTATGAGTGCGGTAAGAGGCCTGTACGTCTGCAGGCTAGCCTGCAGCACGCTGACTGAAGCACTGCCACCTCGTGCAGTGCGTCGCTATCGGTGGAGGAAGCCATCCTCCCTCGTTTTTTGTGCTTAGAATCTTTTTTTCTCTCTCTTCACTGAATTTCACCACTTAGTACGAATCTGACGGTTCCAAGACTCTATAAATTGCCCTCCCTCTTCCCTTCTTCTCCAACTTCCATTATTCTATTTTTTAAAGGTTTAAAGAGAGAGAGAGAGAGAGAGAGAGAGGGAGAGAGAGAAAGAGAGAGAGAGAGAAAATGATATAGTAGTCTAGTAAGAGAAGAAGAGAAAGAAAGGAGAATAGTGAATGAGAAAACATCAAGGTTTCGGTAAAAATTTAGTATTTTTTTCGACGTATTAAGAAGTATTTTTAGATAAATAAATTTAATATGATTGATATTTTGCTTGTTTTATATGTCTCTGTGTCCAAATGAAGCGAATTTTTCTAGATTTCAAGCATGTTATGTGAATTGCAGACACTTGATAAATTTGCATGTAATAAATATAATATGTGATCGATAACAGTAAAAGTATAAAAGAAAAATAAAAGAGAAAAATGGAATAACTTGTATGGTCCAAAATGTATATGTATTGACATTCATATTGCATCAAGTGTCTCGTTTGACTTTTTATCTCTGAGGGGTATCTGTTCCCCTTGTTTTTTTAGAATATCTGTTTTCTCCTCCCCTATTTGGTTTGAAAAGATGTAAAAGGACTGCTCTTAGTGGATGATGGCGTACCCTCTAATGAGAGTGGTGTCGCACTATCTCTATGGGTCACCCGTGGCTAAGTAATGTTGTGATTGTAGATATCAGTTAGGGTCACTATGGCTAGTACGACCGTGGTCATAGATCGTACAATGGTTTAGCCAGCCAAAAATGGGTATGAGCAAATTGCCGTATCTATATTTAATCTGGTCATTCTACTTGGGTTAGTTAGAAATCTGTATCTGCCATCAGAGATAAAAGTTGTAATGATTTCGCGAAGTGTGAATGAAAATCTGAGCATTTTATTATTTATTTAATTTTCTCTATTATTTGTCATGATGTATGTTTGATTTTCTGTGTTAACGTACTGTTTTCTTAATAAATAAATAATTTTCTATAATGTGAGATAAGTAAACGAGAAAGTTAAATGGTAAGATAAAATAATTAACTTTTGAAATCTTATGATGTTAATTTACTACTGTTTTCCTTACTGAGCATATAGAACACTTTTTTCATGTCCGCCCTCCCCCCATATGAGGAAGAAAGTGAGGAACTGCAAACTGACTTACCCTTAAAAATCTATGAGGATCCCGTGAATTCACAAGTCTGAGTGCATGACTATTCTTATACTCTGATGACTCCAATAGTATAGTGAAAGAAGTGACACTTATGTTTTGTATTTTGCAGTCACTTCTGGTATTAGTATATGTATGTATTGGAACTCACATATATTTGTAAGAAATTTGTTATGATTTATTTTGCTGCATAAATTTTATTATGTACTCGTTATTTTAAATCTGTATCTGACACTTATTTGCTTTAATTAGCACTTAGGATGTCACAAACTCTATATATACAACACAATATAAGGGACTAACATGATTGTGATGTCAACTGTTTAAATTTTAATAATAATACATTTTAAGATACAATGAACAATTAAAATAAAAAAAATTCTACAACTTTTTTGCTAAAAATATCGTCCTTTATAACTTGAGATACTTAAGGTTAACATTTTATCGAATATGACTGAATTATTTATAACTAATTTTGAATATTATTATAATTTAACAGTATCGTTGGTTAGATTTTGATATCATCTAATAATTTTTTATTTACCTTCCTTTATCATTGTTTTTGACAATGATTATGTATTTGGTTTAAATGAGATTAATTTATCAATTAGTTTAACCAAAGATTAACTCCTATCTATATTTGTTTGTATGCCAATTGCTTTTAAGTAAAAAAGAACTAAAAAAGTACTTTTAAAAAAAAAAAATCTTTAGCTTATGAGCCATATGACAAAGACAATTATGTATTTCTTACCATTTATTTTGCTGACTCTTTAAAAATTATAAAGTATTTATTTGTATAACCTTTTTTAAGTTATTTTATAAAATTTTTACTTTCTAAACATTATTTTGCCAAACATTTATTATTCACCTTGAGTTTCTAAATAAAACAAAAATAAATTAACTAAATGCATTCTACATTTATTTTTTAAGAATTTATAAATTTTATGAGATTATCCGATCTCACTTATTTTATAAAGTTAAATAATAATATTAATAATAATAAGTCAAACTAAACAATTTTTATTCGTAATTATTGATTGTCTTTTTTATATATTAATTATTATATTATACAATATAGTTTAGAAAAAAAATATTAATAAACGATTAAAAAGAATAATAATAACGAAATATTTGTTAATAACAAAAAAATGATAGTAAATATTACTAAGTAATAGAAAAATATTTTAAGTAATTATATTTATTATTACATATTTTGAAGTACTAATATCTTGAAAAGGTGGAGTTACGGAATAATTTTCCTATAAACTCCAGAAAGACGAAAAATAGTGAGTGAAATTAGTATCAAAGGTGTTCTCATTGCCTTCAATAATTTAGGTTCAACATTTGTATACAGCAGACTGATAGTAAAATTTTGAAAGTAGATAGACATATGAGAGGGGAGGAGAGGAGATCTTCAATATTATTTAAGGAGAAATTTTATGTTGAATAAACTAATTATTAAAAAGAATGGGGCTGTAAGAAAATAAATGTTCTTGCATAATAACTTTATACTGATTTACACAAGAGAACTAGATCATGGATTACTGGACAACTTTACAGTTTAAAAAATTGAAGTTCAAAGAAAAATAAAGAAGAGGAAAGAATGAAAAGGAAAAAAAGAAAAACTTAGCTCGGCAGCAGCATGCTAGATGAACTCACAGGAAGATTCTGTGAATGTGTAAGATGTTGAGAAGCCAAACCTGCCGCCCATCTACGAAGAAGCCTCAACAGAGTGGTCGCCTTCCTTCTAGCTCTCATGGTTCCCGTTCCCATCAATTCCCATATAACTCTCTCCACTCCCGGCAACTCCGCTATCTCCGCAACCATCTCCGATCCCCCCTTCCGGCAGATTGTTACAAGAGTTGCCACTGCACTTTCTCTTGCAGTATACGATCCTTCCCTTAATACCATTCCCATTTTCTTAATTATCTTGTAAGCTGCAGCAATCGCCATTAGTCCACCTCTCTTCACCACCGCTTCCAGAATCGTAATCGCCTCTTCCGGCAACCCATTCATGGTTTCGCTCACCATCTCCACCACCCCACCTTCTAATAATCTTCCTACAGTCTCTCTCTCTCCTGCTAAATTCAAAATTGCCACTAGCGCGTCTCTTTTGGCGCTGGTGGGCCCATCCTTCGCCAGGTCCATCAATCCCCTTATGACACGTGTCTTCCTCCCCAGCTTCTTTCTATACTCGTGCACGCTAGATAAGCTGAAAATGGTGGCGGCCGCATTACCTTTTGCCTCCCACGTGGCCCCCGAACGCAGCACTTCTATCACGCCGTTTAAAGCTCCGTCAGTCTCCATGATTCTCGTTTTGTTGGCTTCCAGGATGGAAAGGTTTAGAATCGTAGTTACCGCGTTGACCTGCAGATTCGGATGGATCGAACCTATGTCCGCACCTAGATAGCGGACAAGCATGGGGATACCCCCTAACTCGGCTACGCAGGCTCGGCTATCCGAGTCTGTTTTGGCAAGGACCCGAAGCTCGTAAACGGCGCTGTTAGCCGTCTCCACTAACTGAGAAGCAGAAAGTTTGTCGATCAAAAACGATACCGTCATCTTCGTTGCCTCTAACGCCGCCTTGTTTGTTACGACGCCGTTAAGTTTGTCGTTAACGGCTGCCGTTTCAAAAGGTATTCTCTGCTCACGGCACCAGATAGCGATGAGATTTTTGAGAGCACAGTTGGGAATGAGATTGGTGTGAGCCAGGGTCTGACCTGTTTTAGGACACGTGTTGTGTCCTGATTCGATCCATAAGTTGATCGACTCCCGATCGTAGGATTGTCCAGTCGCCACGACTACTGGGTCCCGCATAAGCTCGAGGCTGATAGGGCACCGAAAATCCGACGGGATATTCAGCTCCGACAACGATTTCCGGCGGCGAAATTCGGATCTAGGAGCAGATGATGATTCGAACAGGACGCATTTGGCGTAACGAACGAGTCCGATCAAAGCAACAGCTTCTGATTTTGATTTCTTATCGGATTGGCTTTTGATTTCCTCTTCTAGGCTCTCGATTTCCTCTCTGCAACTTGAAGAATCAAGCAATCCTAAATCACGGAAAATCAGCGCGAGCTCGGAACGATCAGGAACTATCTCGCTTTTGATACCGTCCAGCATGGTTAGCACCCGGAGCCTGAGATTACTATCTACTGGATCTACATAAGCCTTTGATTCGGCGCACTGTTTTCTCATCAGGAGCACTAGTTCTTCCACATCCTGGCTCAAATGAATTTCGCGAACGGGAAGGATATCCAGAAGAGTCGACAAGTCCAGTACCAACTCGTGGAAACTGTTGGCTACCGATTCGTTTTGCGAGAGCAGCCACGTCCTGCTCCCATTAGAACAGTCTTCGATCACAGTCTTCATTCTCTGCAGGACTATATACATTTCCTCGAAGCAGAGGAGAGTTGAAGTAGACAGATTCAGAGATTCAACCTTCAGAATCTCCTCAAACAAAATCGCAAGGAGCTCCGATTTGCGGATGATCGACAGAGAATAGCGTTTTAGAATAAAATTGAGAGGTTTCAGGGAAGAAATTTCTTGCGACAAAAGAAGAAGAGATTGAACCAATCCGACGTCTGACAGGTTGGGAGATACGAACGCAGCAGCAGATGGCCGCCGTTTTCTTGGCGGGAATGCTTGAGGAGATACGGCCATGGAAGCTGAAAAAAAAAAGTTGCAGGAGCCTCAACAAAGTTAGAATTACAGAGGAAAAGAGGGAGTTTTTGAAGTTATTTGGATTGATAAGAAGATTTATTTGAATAATTTGACTAAAGAGATTGGAATTCTTCAAATATTTTTCCTGATTTGTTGGTTTTTGAGATCGCCGGCGGTTTAATTGACTTTCATTTTGACGGTAAGTTAATTAGGTGTGCGGGAAGATGTCAGCCGTTGGATGAAGTCCAACCTAACAAGGATGGCTACGGTTCAACAGCCGCCGGCAGTTTCATACGATGCATGAACCTTCAAATGAATAAAATACAAAAAATATGTATTTTTTTATAGCCTCCTAATTTGGCGTTTAATTTAAATTCAACAATGATAAATTAGAATATGTATTTATTTATTTTTACTTATAATTAGGTAAGTGTGTGTGTGTGTTATGGATTCCTTGATATCTTCTTTGTCAAGATCATAAATAAAAAATTGTTTGCATTATTTGGGGTCCAACCAAACCTCTATGGGTGGAGAACTTTTCTTAGTTTATTTCCACTTTTTTAAGATAAGCATCACAATATATCAAATCATAATTTCTTTATTTTCTCCTACACTTTTTTAAACAAATATACCATTCTTGTTAATAAAACAATAAAAATAAAAAATAAATGAGATTTGAAACATATATCTTAGAATATTTATAATGGAGAACAATTTTGACTATTATATTAAATAATTTATACCGTGGTAATACACAAAAAAAAAAAAAAAAAAAAAAAAGAGGTAATGCGTAATCTCTCAAATGCATTCTCTATTAATAAAATATAACATTTGAATTGGTTATGGAGAAATTATGTGACAACTATTTTTTTAGAGTTTAATATTCTTACTTTATTCCTAATATGTAAGATGTTGTCAACATAAAGTGTAAATGAAACTACCTTCTTTCCACTTATCTACTTCTAAAGACAATTCTTCTCAATCTTGTTTTTTTTTTTAATGAAATCAAAATTTCTTATAGTTTCATTAAAATATATATATATATATATATTTTTTTTAGATATAAGAGGTTTTCTTAAATATATAAATGGATCTTAGCACCTTAGATAACTTGTTGGTGTAATTAGACGCAAAAACTTC